GACTAAAGCAGGTTTCTGGGGTTTTGTTTAGCTTCTATATTTGTTACATAGTTGCTTAGAGTTGCAGCTCAGAGGCCTGCAGCGGCAGGCTGGGAATGTTGGAGTCCTCTGTCACTGAAGCAAGCAAGCCTCATGTTAGTTTCAAGCTGCCTGGCTGCCGGCTGCCATCTTGGCTGACAGTTAATTTGCATATCGCCCTGATTAGCCAATGGGAAGGGTAGCAGTCGTATGCCAATTACCATGTTTCTCTTTTATTAGATAGGATATGTAACTTTAAAAGTATCATTATCTAACTCAATTCACCTTGTTTTCCTCATTTGGAAATGTTCCTGTTTGCTTAAATAGGTAAAAGTCACAGAAAATGTAATCCTCCTGCCTAATCAGTATTAGGTTACTTAGAGAGCTGACTCAGCCTCACTCTCAACCCCTCTCTCTTCCCTCATGAATCTCAAAGCTTTACAATCTACTGACATCTCAAAGAAAAATAGGTATGTAAGTGGATCAAGTGGTAGTAACTTCAATATTATGGAACATTTTCTCCTTTTATTTCTTTTTTTAACTAGAGGTTTCAATTAATTTCAGAGTTCCTGGAACATTCAATCCCCTGCTCAAATCCTTTCAATAGGTTCCTATCTTAAAAGAAAAGTGAAGTCATTCCAAGCGTCTTCAAGGTAGCCTGGCCTTGAACTTCCTCCCTGCTACACATAAACTCTCCACCCCTCAGTAGTCTGAAATACCAATGCCAAATTAGTAAATCACAGAGAGCTACAATGCTCTCTCTCTTGGACAAACAGCTCCAAATGATAGCAATTAGGCCTTAACATGAGAAATATGAACAAATTATTTGTAAAAATATTCAAATAAAATTGTAAATAGTATTTGAAAGTGTAAATCAGGTATACATTTGCTAAAACTCATCACATTTGTCCCAAATTATGATTGAATGAAAATAAGATGCCTTTAAAAGATCAAGAGATACTATGAATATATTACCTGAGACTGAAATACTTCCAAATTTAATTCAAATTAGCATGAATAAAAATAACACTATGTCAACCTAAATGTATAAGGAGCCAGGGAAGGAAAAGTACTATGGGATACAACATCTACACTTCAGTTCATCTGGGAAATCTGAACTTAATTGTCAAGATAACCCACTTAATTAAATCTTAATTTAAAAATACTCATTCGAGGCAAGAACATTTCCATTTATCTGTTTCCTAACAATATTAAAATTCGGTGACAGAAAGACTAAAATTATTATTCTATCAATATAAGACTTAAGTATTATCAATCTACATCTATTACAAAGCTGAAACTTAACGTCTTAAAATTTCATGGGCAACACAATGTCTCTACTCAAACAAAGCACTTCTCAGGTCTAATGTTCATTTGATGGATACCATGTCTACTTCTAAGATTATAGAACAAACAGCTTTATACTCTATACAATTGTTAACATTCCCATGGATTCAACATTTAGCCATCATCAAATATTGCTATGAATTTTCTTTGAGGAAATTTGAAAATATTTATCTGTCTGGATACTTACATCTCTTTCTGCTTTATCATTTTCATACTGATGTATGCTTTCTTTTAAAAGATGGCATTCGTTGACTAATTCCGTACATGTTTCATTCAGCATAAGACCTTGCTTTTCACTGTTGGCTTGAAATATTTTTATGGTATCCACAAACTGACCTTGGATTCTAATGACTGTCTTTCCTTTCCTGTCAGAAATGTTGTGAGCCTGATACAGTTGATATTGAAGCAACTTATTTTCACTCTGCAGGTGAGATAGCCTCTCCTGTAAAGAATCCTGCTTTCCGATGTCTGTATTCACTTTACTTTGTTCAATTTCCTTCTTCTGACACTGCGTTTGACTTTGGTCTCCTTTTCCATCTTCTAAAACCAATGCCCTTTCTCTGAGAGCATCTCTTGTGTGATGCAACTCAATTTCTAGGTAATTGGATTTGCTTTCAAGTATAGAAAATTTTTGAGAAAGAATCTCAAAGTCACATTTTAGATTAGACATATCAGATTTATTTTTGTCCTGGGAACAAAACCATTCTTTTTCTTTCTTGAAATCAACTTATAGATCTCCTTTTGATGTCTGACAATGCTCATGATCCTGTACAACAGTAGCCCGTCTAGACCTGTGTGATTCACCTTCTGCTTCCAGTCTTCCTCTGTTTTGTTGTTTATCCTCCAGTTTAGAGTTAGCATTGTAAGCTCAGCTCTCAGAACTTCAAGCTGCGCATTGTGTTGAAATAGTGTTTCTGTTATTGTCTTTTGAAAATGGTCATTCTTTTCTTTGACAATCATAATGTCCTCAAAATATTTTTCCTGGTTCTGATTTTTTACTGTGTCTAGTTCCAGTGTTAGCTTGGCAATTTCATCCTTCAACATGTGATTTTCATATAACAGACGTTTTTCTTTCTCATCACTATCAGAAACCTAAGTAAAACAAAGGGGACTTTACTAAGTCATTGAAATGATATATCATGATAGCCTCTGAAATTAAAGAAACCTTCATGTTTACAATAATAAGGTTCCAATAGGTGGATATCTCTCATAAAAAAAAAATAGAATTGCATCCAAACCTCTAACTTTATACAAGCATAAATTCTCCAAAGTTCAAAAATTTAATATAAGTTGATGGATTTTTTAAAATGAAAAGCAAACCACAAGATACTTTCTAAGAATCTCAGAATTGGAAAGGGCTTTTTCTGAATCACTACCAACCCAGAATACATTAAGTAAAAGATTAATAACTCTAACTACAATTAAAAATTGAGCTTGTAGACTGAACATACAGCTACCCCCCAGTGAGAGTATTGATCCTGCATATACTAGGAGAAACTAAATTTCCTAAAAAATATTTTTCAAAGATTATCTTATAGATATTTTACTTTTTTAGTACTTTCAGTCATAAAAACTATCTCTACTAATAACTGATCATCTAGGCATTGTCCTAAGCTCTTCTACATCCATCAATGAACCCATTAGTTATCACAATCTGGAATGGAGGGGTTAAAAAGATAAACAACTTCTGGATTTTTCCAAGGTCTCCAGACTCAAAAATTGTTGCTCTTGCCCCAATCCACAGTTCTTCTCTAATGTGAATATAGAAACACAAAAGATGCCTTATATTTCAAAAAAGTAATGTTGAATAAGATAAAATTTACAGAGCTCTTAGAAAATCATGAAATTATGTTGCTGCAATAACTTTTATTTCTTCTTCACAATGTTTAGTGTAATAAATGTGAAATGGTAGAAATGCACTGAATTACTTTACTAGGAATAAAATAACAATAAATTGTCACTACGTATAAGGTACAGCATAGCATTCTCTTCAAAATCTCTTGTATTAAAATGAACTACTACTAAAAACAAATTTTTACTTTTCTCAAAGGTAGAATGGCATCTAAAATATGACCCCTGAACCAGCTATTCTTTTCCTCCTTACCATCAGTGGAAATGAAAACTACCCTCTCTATTAATATATCAAGGAAATGAAATCACTGCCAAATCTGGAGCATCTGTTCGTGGTAGCAATACCTTTGAGATCATGGAAAACACATCAATGTCTATGGAAAATATTAAAAGCCTCCCCTTAAGATGAGACCATTGTGAATGTCACTACTTGACTGTGAGAGACAAATGGATTTGAATGAAAAATATCATTTTATCCAATGGACCCAAAATATCACCACTATCACACACACACACACATGGATACGAGAGGCCCGATGCACAAAATTCATGCAAGGGGCTTGGCCCTCATGGCCCCGGCTTTGTCCAGAAGGTAGTCCGGAAGGTCGTCTGGATGGTCGTTCCACTGTTCAGTCTTTCGGTCAATTTGCATATTATGCTTTTATTAATATATATGTATATATGTATATATGCATTCTGTTCTTGAGAAAGACGCCTCGGAGTGTAATTTTGTTCTTCAATAACCTAGGGACACATTTCATTTAGTTTTTTATCTCATACCTTCAACAAAAATTCAAAGCTTAAGAACAGCTCCTTAAAAAACTGTTAAAAAGAAGTAGCCTTTTTAAGCATAAGGATCTTTCATCTTCATGAAAAACTCAAATTTTAACTTAAGTGATAGCTAAATTTGTCATAGAGAAAAAATGCAGTATTATGAAAGAAAATTTATTTATGAACATTTGAGTAATTCCATTACAATGTCAAGGCAATTTATCCTGTATGTTAACATTTTTTAAAGCCCAAATTAACATTGATGTGAATGGTTAAACTCAACTTATTGTCCCTTTCTTCATTTAGAAAACATATACAGAGTATCTACTATACGCCATGGATAGTAATAAATTAATAATTTTAGTCATAAATGTCACAGTTCATTTTTTGAATGAGATAACATCTTGGGCTTTTTAAAAATGTCTTAATGTACATTAAATCAAAGGGATACAATTATTGATAAAATACTGTTAGATATAAGAAATTTTTACCAAAGATAAATTTACCTTATTCCTTCTTACAGTCTTCAATGCCATCACTTGTGTTCTAGTGGTGTTTTCAACTTTGGGGTTCATTTCAACATTTTTAATAGATTGCCTTTCTTTTTTCCTTGACTGCCCCGTATTCTTTTTATTTAACAGATCAGCTTTCTGTCTCTTCTCTTTTTCTTCTTGTAAGGTTAATCTGCAGTTAAACACAATCAAAGCTGTGATCAACATAAAATGTACTGTTATATTTATACAATATCTTATGTAAACCTCATGGTAACCACAAAACAAAAATCTCCAGCAGATTCACAAAAGATAAAGAGCAGGAATCCAAAGCCCACTACGGAAAATCTTCAATTCAAAAAGGTACATATACAGAGTATCTACTACCTGCCAAGGATAAAAATAAATTAATAATTTTAGTCATAAATGTCACAGTTCATTTTTTGAATGAGATAACATTTTGGGCTTGCTTAAAATGTCTTAATGTTCATTAAATTAAAAAGGTACAATTATTGGTAAAATACTTACAATATGGCAGGCAGACTATGTGTTGTAGAAATATGCACCTGAAACCTGTAGTCTTTTGATAACCAGAGTCACCTCAATAAATTCAGTGAAAAGGAAAAGAGGCATACAGTGTTTGATGGATTAAGAAATAAGACCCCACTACTTGTTGCCTTCAAGAGACTCCAATCATTTTCTTAACTTAAAGAAAAAAAAAATCCTCACCAGAGGATGTGCTCAACGATTTTAGAGAGAGGGGAATGGATAGAGTTACAGACAGACAGATAGAGAAACATCAATGTGAGAGAGAACATCAATTGGTTTACTCTCCTATGTACACAGACCAGAGATGGAATCCACAATCTAGGTATATGCCTTAACCTGGAATCAAACCTAAGTCTTTTTGGTATATGGATGGTGCTCCAACCAAGAAAGCCACACTAGCCAGGATTCAAGTCATTATTAAAGACCCAAAGCCAAGAAAGAGAAAAGTATCCCTTTCCAGGGCAAACCAAAGAGAACATTCGTAGATATCCTTATATCAGACAAAACAGAATTTAAGCCACAAACTGGGGGAAAATATCCTCAGTGAGGATTAACAAAAATAAAAATTAAAAGAAATATATCAGTGATTGCCTGTGGGTAGGTCTGGGTTCTGCTCAAACATCCCTGGGAGTTGGCCAAGTATTTCCAGAGGTTTGTAACAGTTACTCACCCAGTGAAAAAGCAGTCTTTGCTTAAGAACAGAGCTAGGGTGGTGTGAAACATCAGGATGCTCAAGGAATTATGTCCGAGGAAACCCCCCTAAAAAGAAAATCTCTGCAACCAAAGCACTTGTGTGCATGCATAGATGCATTACCAATGGACACAGACACTAGGGGGGTGAGAGCATGTTCTGGGGGGTGGGAGTGGCCAGGGAGAAGCCAATGGGGGAAAAATAATATTGTAATAGCTATGTACTGCATAGAAGCATTACCAATGGACACAGACACTAGAGGGGTGAGAGCAGGTGCTGGGGGGTGGGAGTGGCCAGGGAGAAGCCAATGGGGGAACAATAATATTGTAATAGCTATGTACAGTCTCGGGGGTTGTACTTAAAATATCAGGGGAACCACTCTGTAAAGTATAAGATTGTCTAACCATTATATTGTACACCTGAAACTAATCCTATATAATAAAATGGTAATATGCAAATAGACTGACCAACAGAACAACCACACAACCAGTCACTATGATGTGCAGTGACCACCAAGGGGCGCGGCAGCAGGCGGCAGAATGCAGAACATGGGTGTGTCAGCTATGGCTGGATGGTGGAACAGGTTAGTGGGGGCACCAGACCAAGGTGGGGTGCTGGTCACTGTCATCAGGGTGAGCCTCTGGTATTACTGAAAATTCTTTGCTCCCACATGTTGTGGTCCTACCCAGCGCTCGCACCTGCTCTTGGCACTGGCCCCACTCACACCTGCTGCCAGCACCCGTCACCGGCCTAATTGCTTGGCGACATCAGCAGGTGTGTGTGACAGCTGCTGGCCCTAATTGCCTCTGAGGCGTTCACACCTCCCCCTGCTCCTGAGGGGCGATCTGGGCAGCAACTGCCACTCACAGCCACTAATAGCGCCGGCCCTGATCGCACCCGGCCCTGATCACACCTGCTGCTGGCATCAGCCCCAATTGCTCCGTGCCATCAGCGGGTGCAAGTGGGGCTGGCTCTGTCAGCACATGGGAGTGGTGGTGGTGGAAGCAGGGCTTCTGGCAGACAGGAGACAGGGGAGCCATGGTAGTAGGGATTGGTCAGCAGCTCAGAGGATGGGCCAAGACCTGCTCCTGTGCCCACCGCAGCCTCGAGGCCCACAGTTTCTTTCAAGGTTCACAAATTCATGCACTGGGCCCCTAGTACAGAATAACATTGAAAAAACGGGGTGGAATACCTCCTCTCTGGTTCCAGGTGTGTCACTGCAGCTTGCAGCTCCTGCATTGAGAGTCTGGCCCCTGGTTGTCAGTGCCTGTCATAGCTACCATTTGGACAGTTGGACAGTCAGCTGGTAACTTAGGTTTTTATATATATAGACTTATGTATTTTTTAATTTTTTTTATTTAGAGAGAACGAAACATTGATTTCTTGTTCCACTTATGTATGCTTTCATTGGATGCTTATTCTATGAGCCCTGACTGGGGATCAACCCACAACGTTAGCGTTTCCTGACAATGCTCTAACCAACTGAGCTTCCCAGCCAGAATGGTATTTTTATTTTTGCTTTTGAGATTATGTTTGTTGTTGTTGTTGACATTATTATGGATGTGATATTTCTTTTTCTGATGTAAATTTTGCCCACTTCTAGACATATCAGGGATTTTTCATTTTTTATTGTGACGGGCAGTTTTTCCATTATCATTATAAATGTTTATTGTATTAATATCTGTATATCTGATAATCAGACTGAAGAAAGCTGTAATTTTGTAACTGGTGAAGAAGCTGAGAGTTTATGGCAGTTCTTCAGGAAAGGCAAACTGGATGGTAAAGATTTCACCAGAAAGATATTGAGAAATGTTATGATGCAGATGGAAAAACAAATAAAGTAAAATGCAGGCAAGAGGGGTTGCTTTTATTGAAGAGTAAGATAATCACTAAAAATAAAATTATATAAAATGGCTATATTTCCCCCACAAATCGCATTAGTAAAATTTTTCTGTGATTCATTTACTGACCTTATCATCTTCACCATTATGAAGCCTCTTGTGCTCCATTCATGTTCCATATTCTTTAAGATTCACAAACTTAAAGTCTAAATACTCATTTCCCCTTGCTTCCTTCTTTCTCTATCAGTAACTCCTGTCTTTCCATCTTTATACCATGTCTTAGGAAGGTAAAATAGGTTGACTCCATATTCCATAGAAACTGATATAAACATGTGAGTGCATAGAGAGACTCTTTTTAGTGTATTTCTTGATCCAGCAACTCCAATTGGAGTATACCTTCTACGGTGGGTGAAACACATAGGAGCAGGAGCAGCCCCATAGCAATGGCTAATGCAAACCCAGCTAATTCAAAACTCACCACATTCCAACTACATTTGCTAATGATTTCAAGTGCTAGCCAAAATGAAAAGTAACAGAAACCAACACTGCACAAAATGCACCAGAAAAATGTGAAAGTTTGGCAAACACATCTTACAGCAAGACAAATACATAGGTTTTAATTTATTCTTCTGAGGCCATTCATTGCCATTTTGTTCTTTGTTGCTTGAGTAGTTCACAAAATTGCTTGGAAATGGAAGCTCAGAAGTTCAAATCCAAGCATAAAACACACAAGGCCATACACACCTAAAGGTCAAAGCTGAGAAAAGCATCTTAAAAATAAGAGATAAACAACCTATCACCAAAGGAGACAAACATTTTGATGAATTGCTGGCTTCTCACCAAGATAATGGAAGTCAAGGATCTGTGGGATAACATATTCAAAGTTATTAAAGAAAAAAACGGCCTGGCTGGTGTGGCTTAATGGTTGAGCATCAACTTATGAACCAGGAGGTCATGGCTCGATTCACGGTCAGAACACATGTCCAGATTATAGGCTCAATCCTCAGTAGAGGGTGTGCAGGAGGCAGGCGATCAATGATTCTCTCTCATCATTGATGTTTCTATCTCCCTCTTCCTCACTTTTCCTCTCTCTTAAATCAATAAAAATATATTTTTTAAAAAACAAGGAAAACTTTAGAAAAGAAAAAAGCTGTCTGACCATGTATTATTCTATATCCAGCAAAGTTATTCCTTAAAAAAGGCATATTAAAGACATTCCCAACAAAGACTAAAAATATAATTATATAAAGTGTAGTTATAGCACTGTATTTTTGAGTTGTAACACATACACATACTACAAATGACAGTAATAGCAGAAATAGAAGAAAATAAGTTACTAGAATAAAGGTAATACATTTTACCACAATTAAATTTGTATTATTTTGAAGTATACTGTGATAAGTTGATGTGTATTATCTTCACTAAAATGTAACTTAAATTAAAAAATGAACATAATAGAATCAGGGGCATAGAAAGGGAATGGACTGACTATTTTGGGGGGAGGAAAGGGGTGTGGGGGATGAGGGAAGAGACTGGATAAAAATTGTGCACCTATGATTGAGGACAGTGGGTGCGGAGTGAGGGCGGAGGGTGGGGTGGGAACTGGGTGGAGGGGAGTTATGGGAGGAAAAAAGAGGAACAAATGTAATACTCTGAACAATAAAGATTTAATAATAAAAAAAATGAACATAGGGACCATTTTACCATTGGGAAAAACAGAAAACAAAAAGAGAAATAGCAGATATTAAAAACAACTATATAAATATTAAATATGAAGGAACCATACCCTACAACTCAAATAACATAAGAGATTGCCAGACTGGGTTTTAAAAAGGCAAGATTCAGCTGATAAAGGACTTTTATTCATAATATGTGATTTCTTAAAATAAATAAGACAAACAACCCCAAAAGGGGTTGGGAGTCATATATTTGAATATATATCCCTCCAAAGATACACAAATGGTAAACAGCATAGGAGAGAACACTCATTATCACTTGTGCTAGGAAATG